TCATCTTCCCTAATAATATACAATGGATACAAAGAGACTACAAAAAACTTTCTACAACATTCATCCTACATACAAAGAAGAAACAAAGCCTTGATGCTGTATAATTATGATCAGCAGACAGGAGAAAAGTTGGTTTTGTAACTTTTTCACTCCGTGGACAACTTCATATCTGGATAAGTCTCTCTGTGGAGTAATCTCTTCCTGTGCTTCAACACCGCACTACTTGGTTCACAAATTATTCCTTTTTGAGTACCTTTGGTCTGAACTTCACAGCTGAACTTCACAAACTGCATAAACAGATAGCCACAGTTGTACTTAGAGGAATATTGGCAAGTACTAACTCCAAATTGAGGTTTCCCTGTTTTTTACAGATTTTACTATTTTACCAAAATTGGTGTTTTAATAAGCAATATCTTACCAAATTAGGTAAGACCATGCCTCCACTTGTCCTATGGGGGCCCTTATATAGGTCCTTTGTGGGACCTGGATTTAAAGGTAAGTGGGCTAGGGCTGGAAGGGAGGTGACCAGCCACTTATAGTTGTACCATTCTGTTTCTTATCATCTTAGGTTTCTGTGTCTAAGCAGGGGTTTGCCCTTATTGGCAAAGCTGCATACCCCTGGTACAGGTAGAGGTGAGGCGGCTATTTCCACCAGTTGATCTTTGCCCTGTTTCAAACAGATATTTATAACTGCACCAGTACAAATACTAGATTTGCTTGTCTGTCCTAGGGGTTTCTCATGGTACAGCTTTATTATTGAGTGGCCACTGATGACTGAACTTGAGAACATCCAGGCTAGGGACAGAAATTATACATAAACCAGTTTAAGTGCTCCGAAACTGGTTTAAACATGTAACAGAACAGAAGCTCAGTGCTCATAAACCAGTTTCAAAATGGCCAAAACTGTTTTAAGATAAACCTGGCTGAATGTAGTATCAGACTTAACTGATTTGAGTCAAATCGGTTTATGAAACTTCTGTCCTATCCCCCTTCTGGGTTCAAGTTAAATCACAGTCCCCCAGAATCCCGGCATGCTTTCCAGCCCCGGGCTTGGCCGTTCCATCTGCTCCAGAGAACAGAGCTAGCCCCTCCCTAGCTGGAGCAGTGAGGGCTGGCTATCAAGGGAGTTGGGGGGGGGGGGAACAAGCCCAGCTGGAAATGCAGTCCAGTCTAAGGGGGGGGACGGGACTGCCCCCCATCCAGGCAAACCCCGGCTGGGATCTGAGGCCAGGGAGCGGGGTTAAACGCCACTTCCCCGATCAAACTTACTGCTGGTTGTGACTGTGGACTACAAATCCCAGAAGCAACTGGAAGCAGGAAGAGGAAGTGATGAAGAACCCTGCAGAGTCCTGCTGCTGTAATTCTGGACTGCAAATCCCAGAGACCTTGAGGGCAGCAGGAAGAAGAAGTGAACACACAGCCAGAGAGCCGTGCTCTAGCACCCCCCAGCTTCTGGCCTGAGCTTTTGCAGGCATGTGGCTGTATTTCTTGAATCAAAGGTAAATGTCTGTTGACTTCTGTTTCAATTTAATCTGTGCAGCTCAGACTAACCTGCAAAGACTGAATCGATTCAGCCTCTGCCTTTTTGACTGTCTGTACTTAGCCCTAAAGTAGGATTAACTTCCCTCTCTATTCATGTGTAAAACTTGCTGAAGGGGAACTCTCTAAGAGGCAGCACCAGCCACAAGAAAATAACTCCCTCTGAGCTACAGTGCCAGGAAGATGGAAAGCAAGGATTTAGTGGGATGCCAGGAGGGGTGGATTCTGCAGGCTGAACAGCCCATTCATCCTACAAGGGAAGATGCCTCACTCCAGCATCTCGTATAACGATGGGATGATGAACAGGAATATAATGTAAACTTTTTCATTTTTTATTCTTTGTGCGGAATAACCTAATATAACACCACTGGTAGCCCTCCCCCATCTGAACACCTGCCCAATTACTGTGTATGTATTTTCCGCATCAGGTCCATGTGGTCTCAAGCTTCTCTTGGTCTGAATAATCCACAGCATTGCTTTTTCCTTTAATGTATTTCCTAGGCACTGGATATCTATCTACTATCTCTTCTTGCAAATGAGAACTTGAGCTCAGCTCCCTTTGACTTCCACACTCCACTCTCTTCAGGCTTCCCAGTAGCTTAAATAAATCCTTTTTTTTTAGCTTTAACCTTGTGGGTCATCTGACATAACAGTTTGATGACTAGCAATGGTTGCAGCAAACAGAATGAATAGCCTGTGTTAAGTGTTC